ATAGCAATACCTCGAGTAAAAGCTCACACATAAAAACTGGTCTCGATTTAATTTGGAAATGAAATTCCCTACTTGAGCGAGTGGTGTTAGCGGTTGAGTGGGTATTTTACACCGTATTATGATGTACGTATGTTACGTATGACCTACGTACCTAATATCTATTACGTATGAGATGTTGCTGAGCGTGCTACCAGTTTTTACGTTTCGTATATACAGTCAGATATGTAGAAACATAATGGCTTATTTTTGATTTATTGTTTTCATTGTTCTTCTGCTGAAATATAATTTGTTGTTAATAATTTTTCTTCCAAAATATAAAAGAGGTATATTTTTAAATCCAGGACATTTTTCAATGACAAGGGTTGAAATATTTTTAAGAGATTACTTTATTATTAGATTTTTGTGTTGCTAATAACTCAGTGTAAAAGAACAAAGTTCCCCCAATACACAAGTTATAGCCCAGTTTTTTTGGGTTTTAGACAAAATATTTCGCTACCGTTACATGTTATTGCAAGAACTATTGTATAACATTATGAACAGTGAATAAATTTTGCACCTTACGTCCATGTGACGGTAGCGAAATGACCAAGCTACATATTTTCATTATGGTGTAGAGTTTGTAGAGTTAGAGCGTGTAGAGTTAGGGCGTGTAGAGTTAGGGCGTGTAGAGTTAGAAGCTTGTCTCTACATGAGATCTGTAAACTTTTGGCAGTGCGAGCCATGTGGCCACCACATTCTACATCTCGTCTTGGCAACATTTTACATGAAAATATTTTTGGTGATATTAATTAATCTTTATAAAGATACATGCCTAGCAATTTACTATTAAGATTATCAAATTAGACATAATACTCTTTACTTAGGTTTACCTGTATAAATGTTTATTAAAATATATATTTTTTGTATTACCCAAAAAATTACTGCTAGAAAACGCTTTTTGTATGAATGACAAAGCTGTAATTTATCAATTCTTGCAAATCTGAATGAGGAATCATCAGTCAATTATCTTTGCGATACTCATGATGATTGTTTGTTATGGATCAAAGTACAAAGCTCAATATATGTAGGTATGTATATACATCTATCTACATGGAATATTATCAAGAATAATCAATTGATTATTATTGATAGTAGGTATTCTAATTCTTATTTTTTGATTCTATTTCATAAAACATCTAATCCCTAAAGTGTCTGTTTTAAGACATTGGGTTTCTCCATTTTATGTAAGTCGAACTAAAATTAAAAATTGTCAAAATAACGAAACTTACTACGCCTTTGCTCACCCCTCCAGGGATAGGTCTGAGTGTATCTATGTTCGCATATGTACATATTTTTATTGTAGCATGCAATGTCACAATGCACAGTTAATATTTGAGTCTTTACGCTTCATCATTTGTCAAGGTTAAGTAAACTTGTTTTATTATAATATTCTACTAATCGTAGCCAATTGTACGTTTATCTATAATCGCATGTTATACACAAGACATCACTATCAAAGTCAGCTAGTGATAAGAAGATCGGATGATTAACGGGGCAATGTTCACGCCACCGCGGTTTAAACTGAAAGTGAGTTGTTGTAAAGTGTCATTAAGATGACCTAGGGGTCGTTAGAGTATTACGTAAGCAAAAGAGGCGGTGAGTCTTTCATCATCATCATCAACAGCCTATAACAGACCACTGCTGGACATATACCTCTCCTTAGAAAGGAGGTTTGAGTCTTTGTTTTGCCTTATTAGATTACAGTGGACTGTTACGTCAGCATTTTTTTTTTACTTCTTTTGGGATGCTTTTCCGTGTGGTGTCGAATTAAGAATACAGACTGTGGTCACCACCCCTATTCATCCGACCAAGAGAGCAAATTTTGCAGAATAACAGCACTGCAAAGAGAAGGAAAACTTGAAACAAATCCTATAGCATATTAAAGATCTGGACTATGTGTAAATCCTTAACTCTCTATAGGTTAAATTTCGAAGTCATTTGTCGACTGCGATTATTTCTTGTTTGGGGTTGTGGTCAAAGTCATGACTTAAAATCATAGCGATGCTTCTGCCTTTCCGCTTTCCTGTTCGAATCTTAGTTACTAGTGCTGACAATGGTAACTTAAGATTCTCTAAAATTCTGCTTGAGAATACTCGAAGAGCCCTAGAAGAGTATGTGAAAGTTGAATTGTAAAATGCCGTTATAATAATAAGTAAATTTATACATATGTATATCTGCAGGTCAAGTCGCACATTTCACACAACAACGGATTTCGTCATTTTTTCTAGTATCGATCAAATATGTAGTGTAGCATGTTAAGAAGGCTATGTATAATGTAGGTAATTTCGTATCTCTTGGCATCTGAGAGAAAAGTGTCTGAACCGCATTCATATCATCAGATTTAATCTTCTTATGATTAATGGTTTCGATAACAAAATTAAGGACTACTGGCGTGAATTGCTTTTCGTGCCAGACTTGGCATTAAATTAAATACTAATTTACATCGATCGGTCATCGTCTTGGCTATCTGTGGCCATGACCGGTCGTAGGACTCGTTAATTGTGTTTTCGTATACGATGTATATTTTGTATTGTGTGTTGTAAGGCTATATGAGAGGAATATTGTTTTCCAATTTAAAACTTTCTGCATTTACATTGTTCGAGGCGGACGTTAACGTTATTAACTTTCTAAATTACCAAAAAACATTTTTTTGATGTTAAAATGAAGTGCGACAGTGGTGCTTTTTCCTTTATTCCAAAACTCTCCAAACTAAACTAAAAAAACACTAAAAATAGTTTAGTCCTGCCAAACAGCGCTTCCTATTCTGAAAACGTAGTACTTGACAGAACTGAACAATTTTTTTGTGATTTTTAGTTTAGTTTAGACAGTTTTCAAACAACAGAATTGGCACCAGTATGAAACACTTGAGTCTAAAGAGCTGTGCGATACAAGAGCACTACTTTTGACGTAAAGATTGACAGTCTCAATTCCTAAAAAATAAGCTTAAACGTGAGCGGTATATTGATGTAAACTTGCAAATGCTTGTTGAATTCTATGTATTTTATTTTTTATTCTTTCTTTTCCTTGGATATAGTTTAATTAATATTTCATCCACGCAGTCTGAAAAAAAAACTAATTAACGTGCGGAAATTCTCCACGATAGTGGTACATAATGAGGAAATTAACTTTACTTAGTTGTATTTAAGTTTATGATGAATAATATGTTGGTTGAGTAATGAAAACGGAACTAAGTAAGACAGAAAGATGAAGTCTCTAGCCAAAAATTTATAGCTGATGGCTGGGAAATATACCTATAGTGTTTAATATATATACTTAAGTATATCTTTTATGACTAAAGTAAAAGTTGATACATATTTATAACTTAACATTCTAATATACAACTGGGATGATGTTACGAAAATTTTAAGTCCAGTTTCAGACATGTAAAAATACTTCAAATCATATCGAGAACGAGTATCAATCATTCATTTATTATTACCAAGTATTAGTGTATTGACAAGGCTTTAAGCTATTTTATTTTTAAGACAACTCCCGCATTAGGAATATATCCTGTGATTCAGAACAACAGTTTGTGGATCCGTGTGGTGACGGATTAAGAATACGGAATGTCACCACCCCTATTCATCCCGTGGGTGTCGTAAGAGCCGACTAAGGGAGCAGACTAAGCAGGACAGCAGCATTGCAAAGAGAAGGAAAACTTGAAACAAACCCTATACCAACCCGTCTGGCCAGCGTGGTATAGTACTAGCGTAACACAACAGCCTATAGTACTAGCGTACTATAGGCTGTTGATGTGATGTGTTATGTTTGTGGAACACACAAAGTGTCGTCCCATGTGGGGATCGGATCACAACACCCAGCGTAGTAGTAAGCGACGTGACGACCGCTTAAACCACTACGCCATTTGTGCAGTCAAATAGTTTTCCTAGGGGTTTTTATTGTTTTTGTTCGTTTTTGGGGACTATTCACTGTACAAGTCAAGTCAATTGGATTTTTTTATTTTACGGCCTTATTCGAAGAAGACATGTCGTATTCTATGCCTATTAAGGAGAAAATGGCTTTTATAATGTTGTAGCATGTAGCTTAATAAAGTAGATGAAGTAGAAAAAGCAGACGCAAAAAGAGGGTTCATCATCATCATCAGTCTATCTCAGTTCACTGCTGGACATAGGCCTCTCCCATTGCACGCCACTTAGATCGATTTTGGGCTTCTCGCATCCAGCTCCTGCCGGCCATCTTGCGCAAATCGTCACTCGACCTGGCCTGTGGGCGTCCTACAAAAGAGGTTTAACAGTATTTAAAACATGTATTAGATTTAAAGTGGGAAAACATTGTTTTCGGCAGATTTTTTAACCAACTCGTTTCACACAACAGAATAGTTTCGTATAAATAGGTACATAATGGTGCTAATTCTATTGTTAGAAACTTCTCTAAACCAAACTAAAAATCACAAAAATTGTTTAGTCATGTCAAACAACGTGTCGTATTCTGAAAACGCAGTACTTGACAGGGTTGAACTAAATTTTAGTTTAGTTTGGAGAGTTTTCGAACAACTGAATTAGCGCCATTATATTTAATCTTTACGCAAAAAGTTAGTTGGTTTTAAAAAAAAACGTACGAAAATTATTCCTTGAATGGGGTTTATCCAAGACTAGTCCCTTCTTTGTTTTAATATTGTGGTTATAAAGAGACGAGCAATTAGTGTCACATTCCATCCAAAGGCTGTTTTATTTAATGACTTGTATTTGTCAGCGAGTTCACTCGTCAACTATATTTATATCGTAAAATTTTAAAAAAGGTCTGTCAAAAACATTTAGATATTTATGTACATACCTACATGTTCGTTTGTTTATTTATAGTTCAGAGCTTCTAAAAAAATATTTAATAGTTTAATAAGCTACCCTCACGGAAACTTGACACATTTTTCAACAGATTTTAAAGATTCCCTGATATACAAATAAAAAACATAGTTTTAATAATAGTCTTCTCTTTGCTTTCAGTTTTACCGAAAGGCTACAAAGTAGAAGAGATCGAAATACCAGTGCCGTGGGGGCACGTTGCTGGCAGGTGGTGGGGCCCTAGAGACAAACAGCCGATTATCGCCATCCACGGCTGGCAAGACAACGCCGGTACATGGGACAACCTCATCCCCCTACTGCCTGTTAATACTGCAGTACTGTGCATAGACCTTCCAGGACATGGTCTTTCAACACATTACCCTCCTGGTATGTTATACTACATTTTCTGGGATTACATTGTCCTAGTAAGAAGAATAGTAAAACACTTCAAATGGAGTAATGTTACTCTAATGGGACATTCCCTTGGAGGAGCTATTAGTTTCATGTACGCGGCGTCATTCCCTGACGAAACTGAAAAAATTATTTGCGTCGACATAGCCAGTCCGGCGGTTAGAGAACCATCTGTTATGGTCAAAAGTACTGGGTTCAGTATCGATAAAATGCTAGAATACGAGCATCTGCCAGAAAATAAAATTCCCTGTTATGGATACGACGAAATGATTGATATAGTCTGTGACGCGTATAAAGGTTCTATTTCAAGGGAAAATTGTAAGATATTAATGAAGAGAGGAATGACTCCGACTCCGGCACATACAAAGAAACAAGGATACTTGTTCAAAAGAGACCTTAAATTGAAGGTGTCCGGGTTGGCAATGATGTCAATAGAGACGGCTTTAGAGTACGCTAGTAAAGTTAAGTGCAAAGTATTGAATATCAGGGCATTGCCAGGACAAAGGTGGGAGAAATTAGATTATTATCTGAGCGTTATAGAGAAACTGAAGGAGACTGCTGAAGTTCAATATGTGGAGGTGGAAGGCACACATCACGTACAATTAGAAGCTCCTCAGAATATAGCCAGTATTATAGAAGAATTCTTAGAAGAATATTAATTTAATTTTAGCTTTATTGTTGACGTGATACATTATTGTGATGCTTTCGTAGATTTAGATACAGTTTTGAACTGTTTTTGACGCCTTAGCACTAAATCACGCTTTGCGTAGTGGATGTTTTAGATTTCTGCGTATAGAAATCTAATGTGGACATACAAAATATTTTAGATAAATGACTGCAGAATTGTCTTAAAGGTTTTCAGCGTTCTTTTATAAATAATCGATGATAACGTGTTTGACAAATTTTAAACTGTTATTTCATACGTAGGTTGTGGAGTGAACAAAAATACATTTTAAATCTAGTTGTATCTAGTGTTATTTATGTGACATGACTTTTAATTCAAGATTTTAGGCAGATACGATCCTATTTTGAAAGGAATATATAATTTTAATATGAGAAGGACTGTAATTAAAAATACAGATGCTTTAGCATTCTAAATGAAAGAAACAAAATTTAAATACTAACCAGTAATTGTTAAGTAGTGTACTGTCGCTGTGTGTCCTTACACAATTAACTACCTAACTGATCATGAATTGAGTACGTGAATTGATTGATTGATAAAATTATAAATTGGCGTGTAGACCTTAAAGTGTTGCGTCAGACTACAGACGGAGTAGGTTGTAATCAACATTCAAATTAAAAATTCCTAGCTTAAAAAAATAAAAGATATCACGAATTCCACAAACACATTACACGAAACATAATCATAGAAATACAATACTACCTACTGCCATCATTACGTCAATTTTAATAAATGTCACAAATTAAATTTGTGGCAGCTTATAACACAATTATATCTGACTGCCTCGGTGGCGCAGTGGTAGCGTATACGACTGTTGTTCTGCGGTCTCGGGTTCAATTCCCGGGTCGGACGAAATGTTTATATGGTCTGTAAATATTAGTTTCGGAGTTTGGGTGTTTTCTGTGTATAATATTTAAGTATTTACAAAAAAAGTAGACTATCAGTCAATCTAGCTTTCATAGTACAAGCTCTGCTTAGTTTGAAACTAGATGGCGTTGTGTGTTAGATGTGCGAATTATTTTTATTATATTAATGAAGTAATCTTATTCTGTTCGAACATAACTTGTTCTATACAATACAATACTGTTGCTATTTTTTAGATGTGTTGATTTTTCGTTCTTTTTGCTTTCACGTCATTTTAGCAACACAAAAATCTTTAAAATTATACCATTAAATCAATTTCTTAAAATAAACTGAATTTATTTATTTGTGATAATGCCAACGTCTTGATTTAAATTATGTATTTTAGTGCGATTACCAATGGTTAAATTTTGTCTGCAGGAGAAAAATGATTAAGGAAAGTTATGAATAAAAACCGATTATTAACCTTGTACGTTAAGTAATGGTCGACAATTTCGGCTATCCTGTGATGATTTATGAGTTACAAATATCTTTAACCCTGCTGTCGTCTGTATTATTTAAAAAATGTATAAACTAAAAACCAACTTGTTAATCTAGTTTTATTATATTAACTGCAATACATAGTTAATAATTAATAAATGGGTAATTTCAAGGGTTAACTTGATTAACTTTATTGTACTTGACCTGTTGGTCTAGTGGTTATCTATAATATGTATGTATTTAGAAAATGTTTATCAGCAGTCCGGTTACCATAGTACAGGCTCTGCGTGGTTAGGAATCAGACGGCCGTGTGTGAGGTGTGTGAAGCTATTATTATTATTTATTTAAATACTGTTAAAAGCATTATTAAATATTTAAGTATTTCTTTCATGGACACAATCGGCTAAATTTATCATGAACAAGCTTAGACTGTAATGATTATTTCCTTAATGTAAATGTAACACAATGCATTTGAAAAATACCTAATCTATGTTGCATAAAATACTACCTATGTAATAATGTAAAGCAATACAAAAACTACAATACTGTTATAACAAATTTATATTAGGTTATGAAAAAAATCATATATATATTATGCATTACGGGAATATTATTTCTTCCATCAATGATCAACTGTAATCTTTTTACACAGATTTCTGACGTTTATCTGTGAGAAATCTTAAGAACAAAAACGAGACATGATACTTTTTAAAGATAGCATAGAAAAAGGTGTTAAGTTAATACCAAATAATTATCAAGAATGTCGTATAACGAAGTATTGTCTTACGGCATAAATAATTTTTATTTTCATGAATTAAACAATTTTTTGTCATATACTTAAGTAGTTTGTGTAACACACAAAAAGTAGACATTACGTTTGTATGTAGCTTTAGAATAGTTTAACGTAGTATGTTTACACTACTGCTACTTGCATCACAAGTATTGTGTGATCAATGTTAATGTTAAAACGTTGGTTGATATAATATAATTGCACCGAGTTTGGGACAAGTATATATTAAGTAGACAGGAATTGTGATCGCGGGCCACAACTGACCTCGGCAATTCAGAATTATGTATATCTGAAATTATTTAAATTTATTTTTATCTAATTGCAAAATAAATTGAATACTCATGCTGATAGTAAATGAATTTTGTATTTTAATTGAAAAAAAAAGAAATTAAGTTATTTGAGCTGGATGTGAGAAGCCCAAAAGTGGCGTGCAACGGGAGAGACTTATGTCCAGCAGTGGACTGCGATAGGAGGAAATGTGATTTTTGATGCTACCATAACCTGATTCTTAAAATCCATAGTGTACTAATATTATTCCAACTATAAAAAAAAGATTGTACGTGCATTGATCCGGTTGACCTTGGACCTTCGAACCCACGTTGTAAGAATATACATAATTAAATTTATAATTTTATTTCTTATTGTTTTTTGTTACGTCATTTGATCACGCGTAACCTGTTCATGCCTGTTGTAATGCTTGATTGATTGGTACACACACAAAAACATGTCAGCAATATACCAGTTAGTTAGTTTTGGTTAGATAGTATTCTAAAATATCATTATGAATATTATATAATAATACTTTCATCACAGTGTTCTTTTCGAACACGGCGTACTGTACCTACAGCTCAGAGAAGCCAGTGGACGTGCCAGAACAGGGCCGTGGCGTTGGTTACAATATAAAAGCACCGATTGCCAACTGGTATGTATCTTCTATACTAACCAGTGCATTACTCGTACAATATGTTTACTGCGACCCGCCAGATGTCTGCTTATAGATATGTCTGCTTATAGAAAATAATATTATCAAAGTTCTTGCACATAATAGAGTGTGCAAAGACACATTAATACCTGGAAATTCGCCACCATATTCATCTCAAGTGCACAAATTATTTTGGCTGGTTGGCTAGGTGAGCCAATCAAGCTCCTTCCAAAAGCCCAGAAGTCTCCTAGGGCGTTCACAGGTTTCTAGGAGCGATTTTGTATCAGGAACCATACTTGCTCGTTGTGTGGCCACTACCTCGCATTCCAGCTTTCATACATCCTCTGCAAAGAGGACTGTCCGTCGCATTAATGGTGAATAGTTGTCGGTTCAGGGCTAGGTGTTATAGTTCCTACAACTATTCGGCTTTCTAGTCTGCTAAGACTGATCAATCGTTTGGACTGTTTGCAGCCGGGTGAGTTTTCCACCTCCGGTTCTGTGCTTCGCCTGGCCCAGAATTGAAGTTGGTTGAAAGATTGTGGCAGGAGTATGGTTGGGCCGGTAGCCGGGGTTGCCGAGCCTATCCTTGCCAACTCATCTGCGGCGTCGTTCCCGTGTGAGTTAGTGAGCACTTTAATCCATTGGAGGAGTACCCCATTTAATGTGGCAATCTGCTCCAATACTTGATGGCATTCGAGAACAATAAGAAGAGGTCATTGTGTTGCCCTCTAGTGCCCTTTAGGACGGCCATGTTGTGTGACAGTATTCGGATGTTATAGTCCTTAATACCCCTTGTCATGGCCGTCGTGGCGGCCTTAAGTTTTTGCCACACATTCGCATTGGAATATGGAACTGTGTTGGCCTATAGCTAGTGATAAGTTCATATTTAGGTCTTGCGAGAAAGCTCCGGATCCAGTTCCTTCCTCCTAGTCTTGGAACCGTCCGTGTAAATTTGTACTTCGTTAATGACGGATTGATCTTGGTCATTTTCTTGTATCTGAATCTGGTATCTTTTTGTGAAGATATGGTGTTTTGGGATCCTATCGCATGAAGCTGCTATTAGTTGTTAATATAACTACTTATACAACAAATACATAATAGCTTAGATTATTGTTGTATTATGTCATACATGTAATCTAAGCACAATAATTACCTTTTTAATATTGACGTAAGCATTTGATTTTAAACTTAGGAAGCGCTTCGTGTCCAGTGTTTTAGGCATTATATATAAATGATTTATTCATATGAATACATATACATGTATTTGAACAAATTATGATTTTCAAGGCGATTATCAAATTATTTATATTTTATACTTAAAAACATTTAGCATTACCAGTACGCGTTAGATTCTTTGTGAAACTATCTCCAATAAATTATAATTTGGTTGTTCACATTATTTTATTTTGTAAAAATAAAACAATTCTCTGGTCATTTAAAAAAATAAGAAAAGGCATAACTATGCTAAAAGTTAATATGGAACTTGATATCTGGTGGCGGGACATTTCAGGATAACACTGTCAAGTTGCTAAAAAGTTCACACTAAGACCTACACTTTGATAATCAAGACAAATCGAAACGACATTTATGTGGACATTGACTATGTTATGTAAACTAATCCATAACTTGTGCTAAAATGTTAAAAATTATTAAAAAAAGAATCAAAAAAGAAGAATAAAGTATGTTGTGGTATTATCAACGCTTCTGGAATTCTAATTTCAAATCTGAGACCCCACTCTCAGAAGGAAGCCTAGGGATCTTGAATCATAACTTCTGGTATTTGGATAGTGTCTAAACTAGATGACATCAAGAACATTATATTTCAAATTTAATCTGCTGTAATTAATGTTAAGTAGTATTTAATTTAGAGCATTCCATTGTACATATTGTTCTGCATAGTCAGATTAATTGATTATATGTACTGCAGGCGTTTGTAGTTAAGTAAGAATACTTATTTTTGTAATAAATACTTCTGGCTGGTTCCGGATTGAATGATAATACAATATGGCTTCAATTGCAATTAGGTGTATTTATTTAGAAAAAATATCAATTTGTTGACAAAATTATAGCGGTAATTCAGGAAGTTAATAAAAATGTTAATCTGCCTTGTGTTATTTTAATGGACAACTCTTTATGCAGGTACCATAAGTTCCAGGTGGACGGCAATTTTCGAAATCCTCTACGTTTGCAACCTGTAAACAAAATAATAGTAATATACCTACTATTGCAAATTCCTAATAATTAGTGATATGTGCCAGCAAATACATTCTTAGCGAATTCAATACTGCATGTATGACGCATATTGATGCATCTACAGATACGCAGTTTAGTCTTATTTTACGAAATAAAATGGAAATATACAAATTCGAAATAAAAATAATGTATTCCAGAATTGTAGATCTCCGCGGTAGGGCAGTAGTGACGGGGGGGTCATCTATCAGCCGTAGATGGCCCGAAGTACGTCGGGGTACCAGGGCTTTCCTTTCTAGGGTACACCTGGTTCCCCGGCTACTGGTACCCGAGACGGCGTGCGGGTTGTTTTTAGTCAGTTCGACTCCGACATAGTCACCGGTGGGTGGTATCCGAGGGGATTTCCGCACAGAAAAAAAGGGGGTAGTAGTGACGGTTTGATTACAGCTCAATGCAAATACATATTTTGTATACATGAATAGTCCAGGTGTTCCTGTATTTAAAAAAAAAATACCAATCAGTAGCCGCAAAGAATGTAGAACACCTAACAGTTCACCAATGATAAGACATTCAACTCCGTCCCTTTCCTACTGAATGCATGAAAGCGAGAGGTAAGATGTTGCACGTAAAAAAATGGGTTTGTCCGTATTTTATAACCCATGGGATAAGTGCGGCGCAGTTTGAGCTTAAGATAGTGATGAGTGAGAGAGATATTTGGCAGAATATTATAATTTTATTATTATTGAGAACATATTTAGTTTTCACTAAAAAGTGACAAAGAGTATTACCACAGACCTAAAATCACAGGCCATTCCGCCACATCCAAGGGGTATAATTTAAAACGGACAGCACTGAAAAAGGGCCTCTAAGATATTATGTGCAGCTTTATAATCATTCATCAGAATCATTTCAATCATCAAAGTAACTTACATCAAGACTGCTTCCATGTTCCTCACAGTACAGGCTGATTTTATTTCCAATTGCATTCTGCTCCGTTAGCTTCTCGTTAATTTGCTTCCAAATATTGCTTGCAGATTTTAGAACATTCATATTGCCGAATATATAAAAACCTGTAAAAATACAATTATTAATAATAATTAAATAAACAATGTTTATCAGTGGAAAAAGTGTACTAATTATTATTTTCTTGAATGTTTGATGTTCGTATCGTAATTACCTTCTTTAGCTCTCGACAAAGCCACACAGATCCTGTTGGGAGCGTTCAAGAATCCGATCTTGTTGTCTCTGTTACTTCTTACTAAAGACAATATTATTATGTGATTCTCTTCTCCCTGGTAATTGTCTACGGCTGTTATTCTCACGTCTCGTAGTAATGTGTATTTTTTACTCATCTGTAAAAGGTATTTAATATAAAATTACCATTGCAAATACGTTTAGGTACTTTTCAATTTTATCTATGAACCGCATTGCGCCGAAACGGTTTCACGCCCACAAAAAAACAATTAATAATACCAGTTAACGTTCTAAAACGTCTGTATTCATATTGAAAATAATTGGCTATATATATATATTTCCTTAAATTTAAATAGAACTAAACAAAAATTTCCTTTTGTGGAGGAAATAACACCTTCAAAATAATAAAAAAAAAACAATTTGTCAAAACGTTCTTTCAGATTTAGCGGCAAAAAATTGATTTCTAATCTGCCTCATTCAAAGTAATTTCCTGGAAAAAAAAATTAATGCAGGTAATTGGCCACAGTTTATCATTACTATTTTAGTCACTTTATTGGTTCTGCACAACACGGTCTATATAATAGGACTTAACCAACTAAATATATATATATTATATTGCAGCCGTAACAGGGTTTACTGCACGAAAGAAGAAAACCCTGAGGATAGCAGACCCTGCCCACTCCTCCCTTGTTCAAATAGAAGTGGCGGCACTCATGATGATCTAAGTCACGGTCCTGAGAGGTTCCTTAAGGTCTAAAACTATGCTAGCGCTTAAAAAAAAAACCTGCAATGTACTACATACAAAGCGAGTGATGGCAGTGATACATAACCCACTTGTGGTTTTCTTCGCTGTTACTGTGTTTACATGAACTGTGACCTTGTGCCATGAATAAATAAGTAAAAAAAAACCGTATTCAGATTATGTAAGTTTCGCACTGGCATTTGTGACAGCAGCTTCTTGAAGAATTCGTATCCAGTGAGTTCTGCGATAGCCGCGTCTAACAGCTAACACTTCTCGAAGCATTAGCTGTTCTGCGACAACCGCTTAGCAACAACTAGTCATGGTATTGGTATGCACCAATCCAATGAGCTCTCTTCGAAGGACGTCATTGATTCGATTAATAAGTACTTACATCTTTAATAAGTGAAACTTGTCCGGTGTAAGTGGAGAGTATAGTGATTTCATCAGAGCGGTACATAGAGTTTCGTAGGTAATTTGCTAATGCGACACACCATTTCGCTTCTAGAGTATTTCTGTGACTCCAACTGTCTTCCATACCCTGAAATTAAAAATTATTTGACGACCCGATGGAGTAGTGGTTTGTGTAACAGACTGCTACTTCATAGGTCGCGGGTTCGATTCCCGCTCATGTCAAGCATTAGTGTGCATGAACATGTAATGCTTATTTGGTTTGGGTGTTTCTATGTTATACATATTGCCGTGAAGTGGACGATATTTTATTTAAAAAACAAGTGAACGAAAACCAAACAAACCAAAAATCATGAATATGCGTAAAAACTGGGGTTTTTCGCATATTTTCCGGATCTAAGACTACCACTATACGGGCCGTGTTAAGGAGAATTGTCTTCTGCATCAGACCCGTGATCCAGCTATCAACGTGAGCCTCTTAAGGTATTATTATTATTTACTAACCTCAGAGTCTTCAAATACATCATGTGTATAGAAATATAAATTATGCTTCATTCCTCTCACGTCAGGGTAATCGTACACGTTGCGGTGACAATGCAGGCTGTCGTATATGGCTGGTACAATCAACGGTACAAAGTTAGGCCTCATCCTCCTCTGGGTGGTGAGGGTTCGAGCGTGGACACCGTTCCTTATCATCCGCTCGAACAGAGATATTTCTAGATTGTAGTCCTTGGCTAGTTTGTAGTGAGCCGCTGTTGGGCGCAGTTGTTTATGGTCTCCTAAACATTAAAGGTAGATCGGATATTATATTTTATAGAGCCTGACGATAATTGTGTGATGATTACGATCATTTGTTCTGTGTGTGGATGTTATTTATCTATAATACATATGTATTTATAATTATGTGGGAGAGTCATGCTTCGGCACGACTGGGCCGGCTCGACCGGAGTGATACCACGGCCTCACAGAAAACCGGTGTTAAGCAAATCTTTCGTTGCCTTTCACTGAGTGAGTGAGGTTACCGGAGCCCAGATCCCAAGGGCAGCTGCGCACTTGTGATTTTTAAGTTGCAGGTGTCCATGGGCGACGGTAGTTGCTTACCATCAGGTGACCCGTCTGCTTGTATGCCCCCATATGCCATAAAAAAAAAGTATATCTATCAGCAGTCTGGTTACTATAGTACAGGTTCTGCCTAGTTCTGGGATCAGACGGCAGTGTTGTGCGAATTTCTATTTTTATTATACCTATTTTACTCATTTAAATTATAATTAATTTTATAATTATCTTATTTTAAATTAGCTGTCAGAATCGTGGCAAATGGCGTTCTATCGTCTTTCCCTACCCTGGACGGGAATGAGTATCTGTGCATGAACCTATTTTACAAATATACAGCGAAGCTATTAGTAACGAAATCTACAATCATTTTACAAACCAAAATAAATATCACCAAATAATCGAAACTAATCTAAATACAATAATGTATGGAAATATTTTTGAAGTCAGAAAATAGAGAGCTACCACAGTATCTGTCTATTCTTCGCTTCGAAAATATTTATACCACAGTATTGTACGGTGAATACCTATTTTAAATAATAGTATAAAATCGTATCCGTGTGGTGACGGATTAAGAATATCACTTGTCATGTCACCACCCCTATTTATCCCGAGGGTGTCTTAAGAACCGACTAAGGAAGAAAACTACGCAGAACAACAACACAACTTCTGCAAAGAGAAGGAAAACTTGGGGGGGTCCGTAGCTGTAGAGGAAAACGGTCGTGACATGGAGCCGTCTTCTGAGTTTATTCAACATGAGTGTCTTAACAAATCAATGCCTAAAACGGAATAAATCCTATTTTAGAACCTAAGTATACAAATTGATTGTCGCAAATGTTCGTAATATACGATGATAACGGACCATTCAGAAATATTACATTTAACAGTTATTAAAATTTTGTATTGCCCAAGTTTTACAGCACTTCATGTTTCATAGAATTAGTTTAAATCTTTGAGCAGAAAAATAGTGACTTACCAATGAGTATGAGATGTTGACAATGCTGCGTCAATGACGAAACAATATGCGCTTCTAAAACTTCGGCCGCTTCTTCTACGATCACTAGAATTATTTCATAACTAAATAAATGCTTTCAGGACTTATTATATTGTATATTGATTAGGTTATATATTGTACCAGCTCATGTCCAAGGGTCCGCCCGCGTGCATGTCGGCTATTGCAGTAAAACTCTCTGATAATGTAAAAAATGGGTCAGTGATTTAGGCGTGAAAGAGTAACAAACAAACTCGATTTCTAAGTATGGATTATATTTCCCCATTTCTGAGGGGCGATTGAAAAGGCGCCAACGTACTTGTGATTTTGACTAGTAAGTGTCATTGGGCGGCGGTAGTCACTTACCGACAGGTTACCCGTCTACTCGTATACAAATAAATAAAATTGAAGTGTGAAGGTACTATACATATAAGGAGTAACTTAGGCTATTTTTCCACTTAGAAAAACCTTTAACATTTTGTCCGGTTCGGGAATCGAACCCACTAAGGTAGCGCTTTTCAAATTTCACGCGAGCGAAGTCGCTGGTACCAGCTTGTAATAAATAAAATAAAGAATATTTTACTTTGTGTAAAGTTAAACGCTTATGTTAGCAGCATACTGACGAAGTCTCTATTGACCAATCGTGGCACAGCACGCTGGGTTCTTTTTTAGCGCGGGAACATTACGGATCCATATTACGCGACCTAGATTTTACTAGCCTATTTTTTATAGCACGGTTTTTACAAATACAGCCTGATAGTAGCCACCTACCGATAGGAGACAGTAGTTTCCTCATTAGGTCATGTCTCCGGGCTGCAGTGGTGGTGGTGACTCCAACGACCCTCACAGTTTTCATGACATCACCATCTATCGATGTAGCTACTTCGTTCAGTTCTTGATTCGCTGTATTGTGCTGTTCCTTTAAAGATGAAAATAAATCTTTAATAAACGTACCTAAAATTCGTTGCAGAATAATACAGGGAAATATTTAAGTAACTACGATATACGTAAATATTTATTATTATTTCCGTGTGGTGACGGATTAAGAATATGGAGTGTCATTCATCCCATTCATCCCATGGGTGTCGTAAGAGCTAAGGGAGCTAACTAACAGCACTGCAAAGAAAAGGTAAACTTGATACCGACCCGTCTGGCCATCGCGGTATAGTAGGCCAAAACCTCCTTTCTAAGGTAAGGACTATTAAAGGCTGTTAATGTGATGTGGTATAAATAAGGTGGTTTTTGGGGGTACGGACTTTTCGGCAGTCGCCAAGTCACAAGTATACGACTCTAAATAGCTCGAGTGCATGTTTACATTTCTTAATCCACCCATAAGCCTAAGCAACATTCATTTACAATATGTGACTTCCCGTCTTATACGTTTAAGTTCTAATCTAATAAATCCCTAAAATACTTCAATAGGATTACCGTATACATACTACGTAAGTGGGACTTAAATTACTGCTGGCAAAATGGGGGGAGTTTAAAATGCCTCCGGGTACCCCTTCAGTAATATAAGTGTGTGTATATATGATACAAATAATAAAGGAAACGTAATTTTCCATTGATATTTCACACCAACCAAAGGAAATAATCAAAGTATAGCTATCGATAAACTGTGATCAAAGAATCGCAAAACGAAAATTCTTCAGAAGTTACGCTTACGGCGATATAAATTGCTCAATGATGAGTAATACGGCTATGGTAACGTAAATAAAAAATAATATTTAATTAATTATAATATAAAGATAAGGTCCGAAATGAGTATGTGAGAGGTAGCTTTAAGGTTGCACAAATAGCAGACAAGGTAAAAGAGTCCAGACTAAGATGGTACGGTCACGTGCTTAGAAGACCGGAAGACCATGTCGTGAAGAAGTGTCTTTCCATGGCTGAAAGGAAGAAGGGGAGAGGAAGACCCCAAACCACATGGCGGACGAATGTCCGTAAGGATATGAAGGAGATAGGCCTTAGGGAAGAAGATGCGGAAAACCGAAGCAAATGGCGCCGCGTGATTGGGAAAGCCGACCCCGTGTAACGGGACAAGGCGAGGCCAAAGAAAGAACAAAGAAAGAAAGAATAAAAAATAAATTAATATTATATAACGACAACAAAAAATAATTTGTCCAAAATGTTTAGCAGCAGCTAGGTTATGCAACATAGGGCTACTTAGCAAACTTAGCAATACTTTTATAACCAAGTAATATAATTGCCTAACAATGGCTCGATATGGCCGAGGATATTATTGAAACGGTGGCTTGTCGCGCTTTTAATGTCACGAGTCAAAAAATAAATTTGAATTGTAAATTTAAATGAAAGCAAAAGTATTTTAAAATAAAAAAATAAAAATCGTATTTGGGTATACATAGCAAGAATTTTAATTGTATTGTGAATAAGACGATAATTTATTTAAACACTTTACTCGAACGTCTCGCAGCTATTTTTAAATTACATTGAAATAAATAGATCATTTTATGAAACAGTCCGTTAATATGAAAGAATCGATTTTTCATTAAGGAATCTTGAATTAAAGAGGTAATAAATTATAGCATCAAACTATGGAAAAAGAAATACATACCAGTAAAGCATTCATTTTGACCATTAATTCACTTTTCAAAAGTTCAACCGCATTGTAGTAAAGCCGCCATCTTTGTTCTGTATTTAAACTGTATATATCATTTACCTCTTCTAACATACTTTCCTTATTGTTGTTATTTTGTAACGTTCGGTATTTCTGAAATAATTAAATGACACTTACAATCTTATCCATTCAGAGTTAGTTACGGACAAATTGACTCAGTTCTTTTATACTGCCAACTAAAGCCCAAAAAGAGCTGAGAAAAACAAAATTAGTTAAATGTAATCAAAATTAACCTTAAAAGTAATTTATGATAATGACTTTCATAGTTGTTTAAAAGTTATGATTATTATTAACAAAAAGTTACCACTTACTTTCCAACAATTCAATCTTCTTCTTATTCTTTTAATCTGCATTTCAAACCGATCAGTCATCTTTTCTAGTTCGGTCTGATCATCGGTTACATCCTTGACATACTTCATACTATTCAACAGCGATTCAATTTCTTTCAAACCCCATTTTTCAGAGAAACATGTTTCTATTTCTTCTGTAATTGTGATATCATCGAACTTCTCCCAATCTTCAATATCTGCTGACCCTTTTGTGTCCGATTCCTTGTTATCGTTATCTTCTTCTAAATGACTAAAAAGCCAGTTAAGTATACTATCTTCTTTGAAACTTTTGAGTTCGTAATTTTTCTCACCTATTCTAAGATAAGGCCTTAAGTTTTTATACGAAATGATTTCTTTTTCACACTTCTCAATCTCGCTTTGTACTTCTGTCGTTTGCTTAAATATAGTCTCTAGTTCTGATCGCTTCTTCGCATACAGATAAGAGTATTTTGACTTAACTTTCGTTCTTAATTTGTTTAAAGTATACTTCTCTAAATCCGGACTTTTGCTTTGACTGCCAAGCCTGACTATATTTTCAGTTACATGTAAAATTCCTTCTAGAAATTGATCTAGGGCGTGATTTGTGTAGCAGATTATTAACATCGGTGAACCTTCAAGGGACAGATTTCTGAGCAATGTAGATGCGATTTTGACTCCTATATACGTTTTACCTGTACCCGGTGGACCTTGAATGACGGCAAATTCTCTGGTAAGCGCAAACTTGTAGGCTTCCATTTGGGAACTATCCAGGTCTAACAAATTCGGAGGCCACTGTTCTGTATCTAGCACTGGGAATGGTATTTCTTCTTTTTCGTTGGCTAGTGTATATATAGTTTCTTCTGATAAGTAGGAAGGAGGTCGAGTTTCCGTCTGGAATATTTTTTTATAATAATAGTTACAGAATGGAGTTTGATAGGACACAATGTTCTATAATTCATTTTCAGTAATTCTTGTGCCTATCTAACTGACGACAAATATGGTTACCTACTTGAATATATTAAATATGGTTATCTAAAAATCTACTCTGAAGCTCTTTTTAAATTCTTTTAAATTCTCCTCAAGAATTTTAGAGTCCACAGATGGACGTTTCAAATGAAATGAAGTGTGGTTTTAAAGTGTACGAAAAGTTGCCAATTTGTACAGACTTACCTGAACATTTACAATATACCTCTTCATTGGCAAATCATCAAGCCTAGACTCCTGAAGTACTTTCAAAACTCTATGGTAGGGTTCAAAGAAGACTTCGCTTTCAACCATGAGATATGATTCTGAGAATATGCTCTTTGATGTTGGGTTTTGAAATGATACTGCTACCTGGAAAACAGATTAAAACTTAGTTTTATATAAGTAGTCTTCATATTTTTTTAACATGGGATAACATGAGTATTTATAGTCGATTTGCGCCAAGTCGCATCTCGCATCGTTCTAGCAACGCATCCTGACCAGGTTCAAAGCTTTCGTACGAAATGATAATTTCTTATAATCTGATTGGTCAGGGGGCGGAGCTTGATCGGTGCGTCACTATTTTCTTAACTCGAATTGTCTTTAGTGTTGTAGGCAAACTGAATGGAGTTTACTCTATGGAAGGTCAGATCCTACCATTAGGGGGGTCTCCAAGGAGCAAAGGAGTTGTGTTGTTTATTTTTGTTGTTCCTTCACTAGTTTATCAAACTTTATTAATTAGAATTAATCATACTACTACTAACAGAGATGAAGGAGGATATATTGGAAAGGGGAATATTATCAACATGCGCTAGCAGTGTAAGAAGTGATTATATAAATCTAGACAATTAGTTTTAAATGCTTGTAGGAATATCAAGTTGTGTAAAATTTAAATAATAAAATGGGAGTATCGAATGGCAATCTGGTTGGCAATTAGTTTTATTTAAGAAACCAAAAGCTTTTTCTTTGAAACAGTACTTACATATCCTTCACTCAGTAAATTAAAATTAGAATCCAATACAGTTGCACAAAGAATCCTCTCAAAGTTATCACAAGTGAATAGCAATAAAGACCCAAACATAAGCTGCTTGTTGTACGAATATCTCTTTGTATTAATAGCGCCATTATTTATTCTCTCCTGATATGCTATGTCTACTAGATGGCCAACTTTATTATTGCTTACGTAGTTACGTAGGATCCGAACTTTTGGGTACACTCTGAAAATTAAGTCTTGGTTTTTGATTACCTCACACATCTCACAAAGGACCTGCTTATCCCAAACTAGGCAAAGCCAGCGGTAACCAGACAGCTGATAAACATATTTAGATAACATTTCTACAATTATAGACTAGGTTTTGCCTGTGGCTCCGCCCGCATGTACGTCGGTTAATGCGGTAAAAATTGGCCAATTTTCTTCCTCAAGAATCAAACCATCTCCATTTCCATACCAAATTTCATCTAAATCGGTTCACATCACATCATCACATCAACAGCCTTTAGTAGTCCACTGCTGGACATAGGCCTCTCCTTAGAAAGGAGGTTTTGGCCTACTATATCGGCCTAGTAAATCGGTTCAGCGGTTATTAATTTCCCAAACAAATTTCCACCCTCTTAAAGAATGATTTCTGGGATAAAAACTGTCCTTTCCCGGGACTCGAATTAACTCTGTACCAAACTTCATCTAAATCGGTTCAGCTGTTTACACGTGAAGAGGTAACTGATAGACCGAAAGAACACTTTCGCATTAAAATATTAGTATGGATAAGTTACACCCAGACACAGAAATAATGAACATGTTAATCACACTATCATTTGTCCCGGGTGGGAATCAAATGCACAATCTCTGGCTCCTTGCTATCAGGATCACTAATCACTAGACCAACAGGCCTCTTTTGGCCAAGGTTGCACGGATGGCCTGGTGGTTTAAGCGGTCGTCACGCGGCTTACTACTACGAATGTTGTTGGTCCATCAACACATGGGACGACACTTTGTGTGATCCACAAATTGTTGTTCTGGGCTGGGTGTTCTTTGTGTACGTTTCATGTATGTTTGTAAAGTCCCCCGCGACACAGGATATATTTCTAATGCGGGAGTTGTTTTTTAAGAAAAAAAATATATTAAGCAATCTTGAAACTTTCTCTAGGCTTGCTTTTTTTGTTTAAGCGCTTTTATAATAAGCGACTACCAAAATTTAATGAATATATTTATTAAAAACAATGGTTTTAAATTTATAGAAATAATGGTTAACGAGATAGCACTATTGATAGGCAAGAAAAGCTAACCTGATGTGCTCATGCCTTCTCTTAGTCGGGTTCGCCAAATATTTACCTGTGAAATAAATTAGTTACAATACTGTATAATATTTAGACAACAATTTGTCAAATAGTTTACTAATTAGAATAGAATAAATAGAAATAGAATTTAAATAGTTTTACTAACATATCCCTTCACGTAAAGGTCCAAAACAATCCTCTCTCAATAATTTAAACTGTATGTCTAAATAATGTTCCACACTTGGGTACGCTCCATTAATTATGTTTGGTTCAATTGGAACCTCACTGTCTAGTAACAAGTCATCTTGTGTAGGAAATAGGTTCAGGTTCTTGAAATAGTTCCTATCATCAATCTGTGTTGGCTCAGTGCCAGCCAAATCACTTGTACTCTGAAACAGAAATACATTGTAAGAGTGTATTAGACTTAAATTAATCTGTAATTACTTCAAGGTTTGAGGATATCTCTGTCCTAGTCTTCTCTCCACAATAGGTCTGGGTTGGACATAAATATATATTTTTTGGACATTTGAAACACAACGCCATCTAATTTCAAACTAAGCAGAGCTGGTACTATGAAAGCTAGATTAACTGATAGAATACTTTTATACTTGATTCTTTTATAATTACATATTATACATAGAAAATATATATTGATACATATTTTACATATAAGGTATGTGAGAAGTATATTCCAACACAGCCCATCTTTCAGTTTATTGCATATACTTTCTCGTATATTTAATTAAAAATCAGCCTGTGTGGTGATGGATTAAGAATACGGAGTATTCATTCATTCCGCGGGTGTCAACTAAGGGACCAAAATATGCACTGAGTAGGAAAACTTAAAGCTAACTCTTTTTTTTGAAAACCTTCTTATGCCGTCACTCCACCGGTTTGCAGCAGGGTGGTGTCGGAATTGTCGAAAAATACTGACTAAAATCACACAGTGCGGCACTCTGCACAATTGAGAAACATACCCTATACTAACCCGTTTGGACGTGGTATAGCAGGCCTTAACCTTTCTAAGCAGAGGCCTAAGTCCAGAAGTGGACTACTAAAAGCTGTTGATGATGATGATATTTATTTGAATTTTTAATTTTGCTGTCAATAACAATAATAATATAACAGTGCTTGTCTGGGGTAAGAGAAAATCCAATCATATATGTCACCAATATAAAAAGTGGATAGTCATAGGTATAAACTCAGTTAAACTGAGTTACATTTATCACAATATAATTTATGAAAAAGAAAACTAACCTGACCTTTTAGTAGTGACATTGCTTTAAACTTTAAAGTTTCTATTTTCACAAATAACTCCTCACTGAATCGTTCTGTATGCTCTTCACAAACACCAATAGCACTCACTTCTACTATTTCTAATAAATCTAATATTTCTTTAATAAACTCTTCGTTATTACTATCAAAACATATTATCCCTTCACATAAATTAGTCACATTAACATAAAATGATTCTGCATCATCCCATAAATGAAAATTCAACTTTTTTTCTGATATTCTAACACTAGGTAATTCATCCAAATAACTTTTTAAATACACTAAAAAGTTCGAATTTTGAAATCTGGTTTTCAACATTTTCACAAGCTTCGAATTTTCACCAGGTTCTAAGGATTTGTATATACTAGCCAGTATTTTTAGTATTAAAACTATGAAATCGCCTTTCAATTCCTTTTCATCAAACAAATTCCAGAACCCAGGTCTATGGGCAACTTCTAAATTTAAAATTGGAGGCTGTAACAAGGAAATGTCGTGGAGTCTTTTGAAGCCTATAGGTTTTTTTTCGGTATATTGTGGTTTATCAGGTTTTTTAGGTTCCGGCTGTTCTTCATCAGCGAAGTCCGTTGTAGATGAGGTATTTGGTCTTACATCTTCTATGAGGGTCCCGTCGAACCAGTCTATCCGAAGAGAAGATTTGCTACTTTCACCCATGGCAGATGTCTATACGAGTTATATTATGACTAACATCACATTGAACTGTCATTCACCGATAAATTACTATGTTGTGTTTGTGCAGTTCATTATTTGCGGTAATAAAATAATAGGTGTATAATGTATAAAATTAAATTAAGTATGTAATAACATCATTTTGACAATGACATTCACAATTCACAACAGCTGATGTCAATTGTCAAGTGATTCGTTATCATTATCACTTGGACCAAAATACAATGTTGCCAACGTTTGTCAGACATAGTCGTCAATCGAAAATGCTTTCTGAAAATGATTCATGTTTGTACCTACAATAATTTCTAAAAATGAGAGTAAGATGTTGTTTTCTTCAATAAAAAAATACATTGATTATTTCTTGATACTGCTTCAATAAAGTGTTGCGTTTACAAATGCCTATAAAAATTTCTCAAAAATGTCTGAAATATTCTAATAGGTATTCCATTATTTAAAAAAACAAGGATGCCTCTAAAGATATCTAAATCATGAACGATTATACTTTTCAAGCCTGCATGGCAAAAGTCAGTCCATTACAGAGAGGGGTAAGACAGACAACATCAATGGCGAATACATCACTCACCTTCGATTTGCCGATAGTTTATGGCAGCGTGTTCCGTAGGGGTCAACCAGTGTGTGTTACCAGTGATGTCCTACGGAACTGAGACGTTTTAACACACACTGGTTGACCCCTACGGAACACGACACGAAATGGGCCGATACTTCAGATTACCATCTTGGTCCCCGTACACGACGGTACGCTCCTCTAAATAATTTGCCACCAGCCGCCTCAGGTACTCTGGCACCCCATAATAGTAGATGGTGAGCTTTGGAGGCCCACAGCTCACCATCTCTTTGGTTACGGCCCTCAGGCGCAGTACAGACCGTCGAACGCCCCGCTCGAAAACCGAATTGGGCGTCCGACAGATCCGGGCCCACCTCGCAGAGGTACCCGACGATGCAGGCAGAAAGAACCCTCTCAAACAATTTACCTGCCTCGTCCATCAACACGATGGGCCTGTAGGCCGGGACTGAATCGGCAGGCCGTCCCGGCTTCTGCAACAATATGTCTTGGTTCGGACTGTACAAACTTTAGGGGGTGATAGTTTGCTCTATTTTATCACTAAAATCATTCTACAGGTGGGGTTTAAACCCAACGGCCTCTGAATGGCAGCCTTTTTTTTATTTTGGTTGACTTTTTCGTAGCGTCCATACTAAAAGTTATGTAACTTTGGAGTTTAATGTCCGATTATCGTAAAACAAAAACTTCCCATAACGGAAAGTATTAGCAATCAGATAAATAACTCAAATAATTTTAATAATTGCTATTAACTATTAGATTTTGAGCTAACAGCATTGGCGCATTAAGCTGAACTGTTTTTACAATAATCTGATACGGTCAAGTATTTCAATATAACGTTTTTCTTAGCATTTTCGAAAATTCGCTTGAAAGCTTGTAGGTTATTACTTTAACAAGTAAAAGAACATCAATATATTATGCTTTTTAATGGGATTCAAACAATAAAATTAAAATACTAAAATTAACTTATTTAATGTTATTTTTTATTAATAAAATACATTTTTACATATACCCACATTGGATAAATGTAATTTAAATTTTAAATTTCCTGCTAAGCCGAGCGCATGCCGTCTGTTTGCACTACTATCTTAATATTGTCTTTATTTATTTAACTTAATGCACTAGTTGTACACAGGCGGACTTAATGCCCAAGGCATTCTCTGCCAGTCGACCTTCGGGTGATGTAGAAAAATGATGCTGTAGGTGCAAGAGAAAACAGAGAATTTGACTTGTTTATATTAAACTTATTAATGTAGGATAAATCTAACTTACATATGTAGACTACTACTATAAATACTATAAATAAAATACTTTATATAATACATAACTACGCAGAAGTACCATTGAACTGGGCATCAACATAATTATATTTTTATTTTATTATTATCTCTAAGTACTTATTTCTCACAGGCAACTTAAGCTCCGCAATAATGACTTCCTTTAATTCGTCGGTCGTTAGAGGACCCCTTGTTAGGCTTGAGGGTCTTTACTTACCTTTTACTGCGTAATAAACAATAAAACCCTAATTTGCTTTAACGCGTTTTGTTCATCGCCTATGTGTTAAAAAGGTTTTACGGATTGCAAAAAAAAGAGGAGGTTCAAATGTTATTTCATATTATAATTGATTTTAAATTACAATTGAGCACCTTATCTCCCTTACTAATCTAAATATGAGGACATCGATATAAACAAATATAAATGAAGCAAAAAGAAAACGTTCGTGTACCTAAGAGTAATTTTTATTGCATGAAAAAGTATCCTATTGTCTTCTGCTCTATACCCTGGCAACGTATTTAAAATTAATGATCATACGAACGGTACGACAGCACACTTCTTAAAAAGACTTGTGCATAATAATATTATTCCTTCATATGTTTTAAACACGATAATCATTCCTAAATTACAGCATAAAACACGATACTTAAGTGTAAATAAGCTCTAGCGTAATTACAGAACTCAAATAAACAAAACTAAAAAGACAAACAGTTATAATAAACTTGTTTATAATACTTACTGCTTTACAAAGCAACTAATAAAACTCATTTACTCGTTCTTTATTTATTTATTCTACCTGCAAATATATGGCATAAGGCAAACCTAATGTCATAGGCATTTTCTTTCAGTCAATCTTTGGATGATGCAGAGCTGTGTAGCAGGTGTATAACTGGAGCAAAAGAGATAAAAAAAAATACTTTACCGTTCACAAAATCGCTTTACCCTCAGAGAGCCATGTTTCCGCAAAAATGGGCCGGCTCGACCACGGCCTCACACATAATAGGTGTAAATCAGTTTTTTCGTTGCGTTTCACCGAGTGATTGGACAGTGACAACTTTTCTGTGCTGTGAGGAAGAATCTCTCAAAAGAATGACAACGAGCGAAGTCATGATCTTTAGCTTTATTAGAAAGTATTGGACAATTGGTAATGGACCAAACCCTGTCTGTCAATGGAAGCTTGTCACTAGTCCACGCTTAGAAAAGGAGACTCGCTTGTGTCTACACATTAATTAATTAAAACACATATTATTCTGAATAATATGAGTGTTATGGCAGCATAGCATATGCAAAGTTCATCATCATGATCAATAAAAGGGGGACTTTTAACAGCAGTGGACTAACAGCAGTGGTGAACAATATCAACCGTTATAATTTAAGTAAATAAAGTGATTAATAACAAACAAGTTTCTAACTCTAGTTTACTCAGCAAAGAAATTAGTGGCTGCGCCTCAAAGAGTTTACTTTCACTGACAATAAAGGGGTGTATACTACAGATAAATTAGTTTTTAAACTTTCTTTCTTGAGTTTGAAAGGTTCTGATTTTGTACTAACTTTGGATAATCATAACTTTTCATAAAATTCTTGCTATAGAATGATCCTCATCAAATTGTTCTATCACTATTTACATAGTCCATTTTATAAATTATACTAGCAATTTGAATTTACTCCTTTTTTAATCGGTGGCAACATCTGACCTTTACTTATTTCATTAAATAAATACCTACTCTGAGAAAATTGTGTGGTTTCTAGAAGAGTGCTGATACCCAACCGTTGACTAGGTATTAATTTAAAGAACGAAAATATTTACAAAAAAAATATAAATTGATAGTCAAAATAGAGATATTTTGGATAGCTGCTTTAATTTTAATAAAATCCTGGCCTGGCTGGTACCGATACAACGCATAATATACATCCAACACAAGTTTCAATAAACAAGCTATTTTAAAAAACTTTATTTCATGTGGTAATAAAGTTACTTTAATTTACTATCGTTGTTACTATCGTTATTCTGTCGGTAAGACCTCACGATCGTAGTAAGTAAAAATCTCAAGGAAAGTGCAAGGTTTCTTAGTCATTGGCCTGATGCTAAACAGTTTCTTTAAGTAGGGCGAGTGCAGTGTTTGTTTATCTACACGAAAATGTAGATAAATGTTTTATTTAACTAATATTACTTAGTTTTGTTAAATAAAACGTTTACCGTACCGTTTTTTTAAATGTAATGTTTTACGTTCCTATTCAAAAAATAATGAATGAACTGATAATGACGAAAGATAGAGAGAATAAAAGTGTACTTAGTCGTAGTTGTCTGAAATAACGGAGTATTCTATAACGGAATATTCTATCATGGAGGACTTTGTGTGAAGTGAGTTATTAGAAAACTAACGATAGCTTCAAGACTTACAAGTTTCAAAATAGTTCTATCGTGTTAGCTGAAAACGGACTAGAATAATAATTTAGAAATTTAATTTGGGCTATCAAAATTGTACTTTAGGTAAACCTTTTGGTTTAAACCGCTTAAGTAGAATTGTTGAACAAATGTATTTTATTTATAACTTATTAAATGAATAAAGATTATTACTATTATTTCATTATTAATATATTTAAGTTAAAATTTGTCTTTTCTATTGTATTATTAATTAGATACATTCTGTGGGTTATTTTAGCAGTGCTTTGGCAGTCGATCTATAGTCGAATGTACTGATATATGAAAAAAACTTAACTCTCGTTCATTTTCATTTCAAATTTGGACCCATTCAATCCCACTGACACAGTGTAATTAAATAAAACAAATTATTATTTAACGTCTACTTTGCGCTTATAATAAACATGTTCCTCATAAAATAAAAAGATCTTGAAACAAATACACTCTTCAGCTTTAATAAATATTGTTATAGAAACTCTTAGGTAAGGTTTTTATGAAGAAACTTTAATACATATATTTAATTTTAATTCCATTAACAGGAGCAAACGCCATGTTTGTTTTTACTTCCTATTTCCTGAAACTAACACAATAGATTAGACAATTATATACTTACTTTGAGTTTCGTTTTACGCAAAGAAATACAAAGGCTTTTTTGTGGTAACACAACATTTCATTAGATCTTTCGTTGTAAAACTTTATTTATTCAGG